GCTCTGAGCCCAACCAGGGGCTGCACCTAGGGATTGGGCCTGCCCTCTTCCACCCGGGAGCAGGTCTAAGCCAGTAGGTCGTTATCTCCCGAGGGGTCCCAGACTGCGAGAGGGCACAGGCCGGGCTGAGGGACACACCCTTCCCCCCGAGTGCACAAATTTTTGTGCACTGGGCCTCTAGTTAGTAATAAGGAAACATATGAAAGTATAAATCTCACCATTAAAAGTAAACATATAGCTAAGGTAGTGGATTAAGCACTTACAAAGATAGTATGAAGGTTAAAAGACAGAAGTAGTAAAAATAACTACAACTACAGTAATTAGTTAAGGAATAAACAAAATGAATAATGTAAGTTGTTACAAAAAATATAAAATGTGGGAAAGGGGAGTAAAAATGTAGAGTTTTAAAATTCATTCAAATTTAAGTTGATGTCGACTTAGACTGTTTTGTAAATCTATATACTGTTATTTGTGAGCCTCTTTATAATTACAAAGCAAAAACTGATGGTAGATAAGAAGAGAGGAACTACAAAACAACAAAATGGCAAAAAGTACGTACGTACCAATAACTACTTAAAATGTAAATGGACTAACATCTTCAACCAAAAGAGTGGCTCAGTGGATTGAAGACAAACAAATAAACAAAAACAAGACCCCTCTATATGTTGCCTACTAGAGACTTAATCAGATGTAAGAACACACACAGACTGAAAGTGAAGGAATGGAAAAAGATATTCCATGTAAATGGAAAACAAAAGAAAGCTGGAGTAGCTGTACCTATATAAGACAAAATAGACTTTAAAACAAAGATCGTAATAAAACACAGAAAAGATAATTACATAATGCTACATGAGCAAATTCAAAAGTAGGTAATATTTGCAAATATTTTTGAAGCAAACATAGAAGCACCTTAATATATAAAGCAAATATTAACAGACTTAAAGGGAGAAATTGATAGTATCTATAATAATAAAAGCATAATATGCTAATTAGACCAGACATCCTTTCGGTGACCTTCTGGAAGAAGCTGGGGCTTCGAGGGAAGCCTGGGTCCCGGGTGCCTGCCTGTGGCTGGAGGGAACCCCGGGTCCCAAGTGCCAGAGGGAAGCCGATGACAGCAGCTGGGGAAGGAAGGCCTACTCTTGCACGAATTTCATGCATCGGGCTCCTAGTACTATAATAATAGGAAACTAGAATACCCCACTTAGATCAATGATTTCCAGACAGAAAATCAATAAGAAACATGGGCTTTAAATAACACATTAAACCTGATAGATTTAATAAATATATATAGAACATTCCATCCAAGAACAGCAGAATACAGATTCTAGTGAAGTACAAATGGAACATTCTCCAGTGTAGATAGTTAAGCCACAAAGCAAGTCTTAATAAATTTAAGAAGATTGAAATTATACCTAACATCTTTTCTGACCACAATGGTATAAAACTAGAAATCAATTGTAAGAAGAAAACTAGAAAGATTACAAATATATGGAAATTAAACAACATGATACTTAACCAATGAGGTCAACAAAGAAATAAAAGGAATCATAAAAGATTACTATGAATAAAATTCATAATAAAATTCAAAATTGCAGTAATGTTGCAGGGTACAAAATCAAGAAATATATGCCAACAAGTTGGACAACTTGGAAGAAATGGATAAATTCCTGGAAACATACACTCATCTAAGATAGAACATGAAAAATAGTAAACCTGAATAGACTGAATTGGTAATTGAAAATCTCCCAAGAAACACAAGCCTAGAACCCAATGACTTAACTGGTGGATTCTACCAAACATTAAGATTTTTTTTTTAAATATATATTTTATTAATTTTTCACAGAGAGGAAGGGAGAGGGATAGAGAGTTAGAAACATTGATGAGAGAGAAACATTGACCAGCTGCCTCCTGCACACCTCCTACCGGGGATGTGCCTGCAACCAAGGTACATGCCCCTAGACGGAATCAAACCTGGGACCCTTCAGTCCGCAGGCCGACGCTCTATCCACTGAGCCAAACTGATTAGGGCCCAAACATTAAGATTTAATACCTATCCTTCTCAACTCCTTCAAAAAATTGAAAAGGAGGAAGGGCTGCCAAACTCGTGTTATGAGACCAGAAGTATCCTGATACCAAAAGCAGACAAGAACACCACAAAAAGCCCTGGCTGGGTTGGCTCAGTGGATACAGTGTTGGCCTGTGGACTGGGGGATCCCAGATTCGATTCCAGTCAAGGGCACATGTGGGCTCGATCCCCAGTGAGGGGGCGTGTGCAGGAGTTGGCCGATCAATGATTCTCTCTCATCATTGATGTTTGTCTCTCTCTTCCTCTCCTTTCCTCTCTGAAATCAATAAAAATATATATTTTTAAAATAGAACAAAAAAGAAAAAAGTACAGGCCAATATCCCTGAGGTACACAGAAATCCTCTGTAAATCCTTTGTAAAATATAGCAAACCAAGTTCAATTGTACATTAAAAGGATCACACATTCTGACCACATTGGATTTACTTCAGGGATGCAAGGATGGTTCAACATTCACAAATCAATCAACATGATACACCACACTAATAAAAGCAAATATAAAAATCATCATCACAATAGATGCAAAAAAACCCACAGCATTTGACCAAGTTTACCAAACATTTGTGACAAAAATGCTCAGCAAAATGGGAAGGAACATACCTCAACACCATAAAGGCCATGTACAACAAGCCTCAAACCCTTTCATCTATTATTAGGAACAATTCAAAAATGCCCACTTTCACCACTTTTATACCACATACTATTAAAGTCCTAGTCAGAACAATTAGGTACATAAAAGAAAAACAAAAGGCATTCAAATTGGACAGGTAGAAGAAGAACTGTCACAGTTTGCCCATTACATGATTTTATTTGTAGAAAACCCTAAAGACTTCACCAAAAAACCTGTTAGAACTAATAAAAAATTGCAGTAATGTTGCAGGGTACAAAATCAATATACAAAAATCTGTTGTGTTTCTATACCCTAACAAACTACTAGAAAGAGTAACTAAGAAAATAATCCTATTTACAACTGCACCAAAAAGAATCAAATACTTAGAAATAAATTAAAGAGGTGAAAGACCTATACACTGAAAACTTTAAGACATTAATAAAAAAATGAGGACAAAAATAAATGGAAAGGTTCTTCATGTTCATGAATTGAAAGAATTAATATTGTTAAAATGTTCATATTACTGAAAGCAATCTACAAATTATTGCAATCCCTATCAAAACTCCAGGGGCATTATTCACAGAATTAGAAAAAAATCCTAAAATTTGTATTGAACCACAACAGGCCCTGAATAGCCACAGCAATCTTAAGAAAAACAAAGCCAGAGACATCACACTCCCTGATTTCAAACTATATTACAAAGCTATACTAATCAAAACAGCATGATCGTGGCATAAAAATAGACATATAGATCATTGGAACAGAAGAGAGATCCCAGAAATAAATCTATACACACACACACACACACACACACACACACACAATTCATTTAAGAATATACAATGAGAAACAGTAATAAATGATGATGGGAAAACTGGACAGCTACATGCAAAAGAATGACACTAGACCACTACCTTATACCATACACAAAAATTATCTCAGAATATCTATCATAGAATTTTATAAACTCTTTAATGTAAAATGTTATTTGTATAATCATAATCATAAAAATATCTATCCTTTTGTTTTTAATATAGTAAAAAAATTCCAGAAATAGTAATGTTTGTATACAAAATTACACTATCTTACATTTAATGGGGCTCACTGAAAGCATATGTTCAACAATCCACTAAAACTTTCTCCTTGCAGAGTAACATTTTAGACATCTAAAGTAGAAAGAAGGAAGCACTTAGGCATAAAAAGAAATTAAGGAAGTGAGAATTTACAGTACTCCACGAATTTTTGATATCCATATAAATTTGACCAAATATTACCATATACCAATCATCAATGACTGTATCCAAGAAGACACAATTCTAGCTCTGAAAATAAATATCAAACACTTATTTGCTGAACTCCATGAATCACACACATTCTCTCAAACCTATTGATCATTTTATTTATTTATTTATTTTTATATTTCTTTATTGATTTCAGAGAGGAAGGAGAGGGAAAGATAGAAACATCAATGATGAGAGAGAATCATTGATCGGCTGCCTCCTACACGCCCCCTACTGGGGATCAAGTCCACAACCCAGGCATGTGCCCTTTGCAGGAATCGAACCTGGGACCCTCCAGTCCACAGGCCGATACTCTATCCACTGAGCCAAACTGGCTAGGGCCTATTTTGTTCACTTCTGCGTCCTCAGTTAATGACACAGTGCTTGACACAAATATTACTGAAAAACTGGATAAATGAATGACTATGAGAGCATATTAAAGAGTCTTCAAATCCAGTCTTTTAGATTTAGGAAAACCTTTGTGAAAGGAGAGGGAAAGATAGAAACATCAATGATGAGAGAGAATCATTGATCGGCTGCCTCCTACACGCCCCCTACTGGGGATCAAGTCCACAACCCAGGCATGTGCCCTTTGCAGGAATCGAACCTGGGACCCTCCAGTCCACAGGCCGATACTCTATCCACTGAGCCAAACTGGCTAGGGCCTATTCATCATTTTATGCCCAGTTTTAACAGACTTGGTAATCACTCAGGGCGAGATTGGAAAAAACAAATTTTAAGAGGGAGGGCTGGTAGAAACAAGTACTTCAGCAGCTGGGCTGATTTCTAGGCAATAGGGACAGTTATGATGGTACCACCTATTCCATTGTTGAAACTGTCCCATATCAGTTGATAAATAGCCAGTATTCTTGAGTCTGCTAGTTGCACCCTCACCACTGCTCAGGACTCAATCATGGGATCCCTCAGATCCTCCCACGATGCTACAGCTGAACAAGGAACTCCTGGTATAGCAGGGGCTTCCAGAACCCTGCGCCAGCTCTGCAGCCAGCCTCCACTGGGTTTTGTCAGAGTCTTTATTGTAACAGTGAAAGACCAAGGTCCAACGAATCTATGACACACATTTTCTCCACATTTTAACATTACCGAAATTAGAATCCTTTTTAGAATAGAAAAATGGTGGTTCACAATTTAACAGCATTTTATAGGGGCACAAAAAATGCCACTCATAATCAATGGTGCCTCCGAACCAATGGCATATAACAACAGTAAGAATCAATAGCTGACAACTAAGGAGAAGTCAGATGTGACTAAAAAAAGAAAAAAAGAGCATACATTCTGGCCCCATTTTCTATAGAAAGACAAACAACATAAAACTCCAATCATATTTTCTTCCATGTACCATTTTAAAAGTGGAAATCAAATACCAAATTGGATACTTTTACTTACCTTCAAAGCCATCATTATCGATGTCACCAAGATTAACTATAGATTCCCCAAATCTTGCAGCATATTTGTCACTTCCAACGAGCGCTGTTTCCATTTCATTCATTACTGCTCCCTAGATAGAAAGGGTAGAAAGGTGTCATTAGAACACTCCCTGACAACTTTACACATGATTTACTGTTGTAATTGGATATTGATTTTTTTCTAATGCTTCAAACAAGTTGGACAAACTACAGACTGAGCTGCAGTACACACATCTCAGTTCAATTCAATAAATATTTATCAAGCACATGTCAACACATAATAGTATGATTAGAGCTCAAAGGATATAAAAAATTGTCAAATTCATGATTCTTAGTTTTGAAAAATCCAATAAATCATTTTGATAATTCAATTTAGCAAATATTTATCAAGTTCCTACTGCAGGCACTGCACTCTACAGACTGAACAAGTAAAAGGGAATAGGCATGTATTTATATGTCACAGGCCCTTTCCTAAAGAAGCCCAGAGTTACAGGAAAGGCTACACACAAGCATGTAAATGACTTAGAAGTACAGACTGCTTGGTAATATCAAAGAGCAAGGAAAGTATATGTAATTGTGAGAGCCGGGAGAGATTTCATAAACAATATTCAAGGTAACTATTGAAGGATTGGCATAATTTTGGTACACAGAGGAAATTATCAGCAAAGCACAAATTCCAAAGACTTTGGCTATCATGAACAGTGTGTATAATGAGTGAGAATAAAATATTCAGATTGGATCCTTGTAGGGTGGGACTGTGAACACTGGGGGAAATTTACTCTCAATTTAGAGGACAATAGGAAGCTGCTGAAGGTTTCTGAGTTGAGGAGTGACGCGACCGAAGCTGGCCTTTGGAACCGTAATCCAGCAGCAATGAACGATCGTCAACCGCTATCTCTGAAGCGGGAAGATGAGTTACTACAATAAGACATTCCATTATGTTGCAATCATTGCTACCAGACTCTCTAAATGCCAATCATGTCACTCTCTTGTAGAAAAAATATCCACGCACTACTTACTCATTCCTCTGCTCAAATAGATCTATTCATCATTTCCTAAGTGGACGCATCTTCTTCCCCTTGGCTAGTGCCCTTTACCTTGTACTTTCCAACTAAAAAATTCCTGTACTTATTTTGCTCCCAGAGAATCACCTAATTTAAAGAGCAGAAGGCAGAAGAGACTCCAACAAGGATGAGAAGGTGCAGACCTAAGGAAATGCAAAGGCACTGAAGTTCCAGGGGAGAGTTTCAAAAAGGGGTAATCACTCTTCTGTGAGTATTCTCCAGTCACAGAGAACGGTGACCAAGGGTTCGCTGGGAACCCCCGAGAACTATTTTAGTAGAAGTAGGTGGAAGCCATATTCATTCAAGTACCATTATTCCTTGAGTTCATTAACAAATAATTACTGAGCACCTACTTGTCCAGGACTCTTTCAGGCCCGGAGGAAACAGCAGTAAACAAGACAGATGATCCCTTTCCACAGGGTGTCTACATTCCAGGAGAGGAACAGATATTAGCAAACCAACTAATAAGTATATAATATAATTCCTTTGTGGTAGTGGTTAGTGCGGGTTTAGAGAGGTATAAAACAAGAAGTTAGAAAGGAGCAAAGCAAGAATAGTCAAAGCCAGAGTAAGCTTTAAAAGCTGAAATCAATGACGATAGTGGTGGGTGAGGGCAGGAGTGAGGAAAGAACAAAAGGGTAGACTTGTGGGTACAGCTCCTCTTTTGCCCTTTAAGCAAAGGAGCTCCACTTTTATCTGGTTTTCATATTGGGATTGCTTAAGATTTCAATGAGAACAACAAGGTCCTATATTGCCTTATTTTAGGTATATATGTTACTGTTCAAACTATTCTCAAAAAGTTTAGTTATAAAGAGAAGGAAAGAGAAAAATGCAGAATGAGGATGTAGCTAGTCTAAGGAAGATCACTTATGAATAGGGAAATGTGAAATAGCTCTGCCAGAAAAAGTAATAATACATGACATCATATTAATGAGGTATGATCACTTTGCAGATAATAAGCTTTTACTATTAAATTTAGATTAAAACGTATAGAAAATTCCAACACATACATAACTTTCCTGCTCTACATCTGGAACTTTCAGAATCGCTCAGCTTTGTAAGACTACTAGGGGCCCGGTGCACAATATTTGTGCACAGGGGCTGTGTCCCTCAGCCCGACCTGCACCCTCTCCAAACTGGGAGCCCTCAGGGGAACCCTCTCCAATCCAGGAGTTTCTGTCTTTGCAATTATATGAGCAAGTTGTCTGAGACCCCAACCCAGTTTGGTTTGGTGCTCACAGAATAATAGAGGTCTCTTTTTTCTTTGTTTCATTGGTGGAGATTTCCTGGAAGTTTTAGGATATCTTCCCTTTAATTTTTCCTAGACACTCTTATTTTACCTATGTCTCTCACCTTTGCTTTCCCTCCATCCCCTACCCAATCTGCCAACAGAACTATGATTCCCAGCATTCCTGGTGCTCCCCGTGCTCTAGGCTTCCGCTTCTGGTCCAGGGGCTGCCACCAGAACTACAATTCCCAGAATTCCTGGTGCACCCTGTGCTCTTGGTTTCTGCTTCCAGTCCAGGGGCTGCAGAAACCAAAATGACTGGGAACTCCAGATGCCTCCAGGCTGGGTTGACAGGACTGGACACTCCAGTGGCATCCCTGGGACTCCAGCTGCTCAGAGCTGGCGTGTACGTGCACTGGCCACAGGCCCACCATCTTTGTCAGGTTAATTTGCATACTCACTCCTGATTGGCTGTGGGCATCATGGAGGGATGGTTAACTTACATTATTTGTCTATTATTAGTATAGATTTCTGCTTAAATTTTAAAAAGTTTAGTCTCATGTTTAATATAGAAATTTATTAAATGGTGTGGAACCACTAATTAAATAAGATTACAAATACCTTCTTGAAACAGATTTTACTTTGTTAAATCCTACCTATGCCTTAAGAAATGAACTAATGTTCTCACAAACCCACTCATGTTCTTAAACCAAAGGCAGGCCCAAAGGACCCCATGAAGACCCTATCAATTCTCTGCTTTGATTTAAGGTCAAGAAGATAGGCTGGCAAGACAAGGCTAGCAGAACTCTTTTAATTGACCTGTCCATAATTTAAAACTCAACAATAAGCAATAATTACATATTTCTACAAATCCTATATCCACTGTGGAAGAAACTATGTCAATTTTATATTCTTATCAATCTATATTAGTTGTGCAAATTAACATTTTATCAAAACATGTCTTGATGGTCAATGGTCAAATCAAGAAATTGAAAATATGAAATTTTTTCTCTTCTACTTCAAGTAATATTTTATAATTATTAAATCATATAAGGACAATCACTAAATAAGAAATCCACATTTTGAAGGATGCAAACATCATGCTTTCAAGTTAGATTTGTGCCACAATGAAAACTGAAAGAAACGTCATATATTGCAGTGAACACCTCCCAGCTGTGAACAGAGAAGCTCTGCAATGACTCACCACCTCCTTCTGGAATGGCAAAATGGGTCAGTGGCCCATTTACCATCATATTCTATTTCATTTTGGGAGCGTCAGTACCATACCAGAATTTTCACTTTCAGCAGTAAAATAAGCCTAAGGATCTGTAGTCTCAGAGCTCCAGAATAAGATCCCAACACAATCCCCTGAGGGGCTCCTAGTTTGGGGATCCTTGGACTTACTGAGCCGGAGTTGATGTACACGAACACTCTGCCTTCCTCCCTGATGCTGCTCTGCATGGGAGCTCCTACCAGCACGTCCGAGAAGCCGTCTGCATTGAGGTCCACGGCACAGATAGAAGCTCCAAAATAAGAGCCAAGCTGCTCCAAAAACAAACCAGACCCAGTCACTGAGAAAAAAGCAGGGTTAGTCACCCAAGCCCCCAGGGAGACCAAAGGTAGAGACACATTACCTTTTTACCTTTCATTTCATGTAAGATCGTTAGTTCTCTTTCATCAATTCTGAATATGTATGCCTGCAATTGTGAAAAGAATTAGAAAAGGTTAGACTATGACATTTAAATTTTTTTTTCATTTGATCAAAACATCATTTTTCATAACTTGTAATTGCTCAAATACAGTTTTAAAAATCCCTTTCAGAATGATCCCAAAGGTTTAGGAAACCACGTTCAGGCTAATGTGCCTTCCTTGCAAAACTAGCTTCTCGGGAGCTACCTCCTGGCCCTTGAGAGAGAGCACGGAAAGAAAGCGTTTTTGCCTCACTTTTCAAAGTAAGGCTGAGAAAAATTTAGTAACCTTTACACAGCAAGTGTAATGAAAACTAAAGCCAAAAATCACATCTTATTCTTTGTAGTCTTACCATAAAACCTGTTGCTGCCTCAATTTCCCTTTAGTTGTAAACTTGTTCACCAATAAATATAATCCTCGGGCACCTTGAGACAGTTCTCTTAAAAACAGTTTACTCATAAGAAAAAAAAAAGCTTCATTTGACATAGAATTTTCCTTCAAGCTTTTCTGCCCATTTTTTTCTAAAAGCCATACAACATTCACCAATTCCACTAAATGCAGCCCGTGGCTCATCATTTCTAGCTTTCATTCCTTAGCAAGTGTGCACTTGCTCCTTTAGCCTCTCCTCTCATGCAATCTATGTGGACGCTTGTAAAGAAATAAATATAAAAATGTAGTTCTTACTTTACCAATCTGTTCATGCTGAGGGGCTCCTCCAATGACTTCGGTGGTATCCCGACTCCAAAAGTGACCAGCTCCAACTGAGTACCCTTCAAGAAAACGGACACACTGTGAGACTTGTCATCTGCCATGGGTGGAATATATTATCACATATCCACTCAGAATTCAGTGAGACTGAATACAAAGTGACTACACGGGACAGAATTTTAATAACATTTAGCAAAGCAATACTCGTACACACAATTGGTCATTCATTTTATGCTTTAATTATTAACATGTGTGTTATGAAACAAATTGAAGATAGCACCTTTACATTTGGTTTGTTAGTCTCTGTGTAGTACCAGGACATGCAAGCTTCCTGCATGTCCTTTTACTACAGAAATATTTTAGAGTATATAAAATATGACATTTAAACTTTAAGTATAAATTTTTTAAGTTGCAATTTTTTTGCCATGAAATCTTTACTATGATAGAATTTTATGATGATAGAAATGCGGGAATATTTTGGTTTTATTATGTAATAAAAAGGGTAATGCCAAGTTATATTTTATAATACTCGAAGATAATCTTCAACTATAAACAAGTAAATGTTGAATTGTAAATGAATTCCCTCTGTTTGAAAATGAATTCCTTCTGTTCAAATGGGAAAAATAGTACTGCTTTTCTTATCATTATTTCTGAGGATAAACTGCTCACATTTGAAACACACATGGTTTAAGCAAATCTGTACTTTCTAAGAAACTATAGGAAAAGCATTCCTTTTACTATAATGGAAATTAATGCCAGAAAAATCTTGTGTTTCTATTGAAACAAACTACAAATAATCCCACCCCTGATTCATTAAATAAGAATAAGAAGATAAATAAGGATAAGAAGATAAAAATAGCTAAGCTATAAGAAATATTATAAGAACTTCTGAGGCAAAGGTCAATGAGCTGTTTTTCAGACCCACATGCTTCATAATGTTACCCACTGTCTAGAATGCAGTCGACAGCCTGACTGATTTTCAGCTGGTCCTTTAAGAAACTATACTCACTTACTCTTATATAATTAAATGAGTTAATTAATGTAGAGTGCTTACAAAAGTTCCTCAGATATGGTTAGCAATCAATACCACCTTTATAATAATAAAGATACAAGCCCTCAAGTGTTTTACTCCACAGAATAAACACTTTGCAGTCAACCAGGAATTCCAGTCTAAGAATTATATGTCGATGACTGTAGTTACATATGTTCAATGTAAGTTAAAATTTCATAGATTGTATTCTTAAACAAACTCTCTTTTTAATAACCACTGGCCACTTTGATCTTTTTTTTTTTTTTAATCCTCACCTAAGGTATTTTTCCACTGATTTTTAGGGAGAGAGGAAGAGAGAGGAAAAGACAGAAATACGGTATTGACAAGTGAGAGAAACACATGGATTGGTTGCCTCCTGCACATGCTGGGGAGGAACCTGCAACCAAGGTACAGGCCCTTGACCAGAATCGAAGCCAGGACCCTTTAGTCCACAGGCCGATGCTCTATTCTCTGAGCCAAACTGGCGAGGGCCATTTTGATCTTTTGAAAATATAATTTCCCTTATTTATAATCACTAGTATCTGTAAGAAAGATTATAATTTCAGTTTGTCAATTTTTACAGTACCTAAGTAACTTCCAAATTTTACTTGATTGTCACTGTCTGAAAAAGCCACAAATTTATTTGAAGTTATACTGTAGACAAAAATAGAGCCAGTCCAAAAAAATGATCCTGGAGCTCCCATCACAATTAAATCCTGTAAGAAATAAACAATTTAGCATCATTTAGAAGTTTAACCTCACCACCCCAAACCTCTACCAGATATACATTTTAAGTAAATAGTAACAAGAATAGATTTTTTATGATAAATTTCTAAAGCCTGAGCATTTTATGAATTTAAAAACACACCAGGAAAAAAAAAAAAGCCAGAGAAGCTAGCTAATGGATTTTCACTAAAAGTAGAGTTTTAGAAAAGAAACTTTCACTTCACACTTATCAGTGGACTTAGAAATCAAAGGTAGAATCATTGAACACTAGAGTAAGTTTTCAGGAGAAAGGCAATGTGGTTTCTATTAAAGTCAATCATATCTGGGGAATTCATTAGTGCTCATTACAGAGATAATCATGTGTTGTCAAAGAGTGAAAAAGTAGACAATTTATTTCAATTTGCAAAAAGCCATTAACTAGTTTCCTTAACAATGTTAGATTAGAAAAAAAGAGAAAGCCAATAAAACAGTGGTTCTCAACCTTCTGGCCCTTTAAATACAGTTCCTCATGTTGTGACCAAACCATAAAATTATTTTGATTGCTAATTCATAACTGTAATGTTGCTACTGTTATGAATCGTAATGTAAATATCTGATATGCAGGATGGTCTTAGGCGACCCCTGTGAAAGGGTCGTTCGACCACCAAAGGGGTTGCGACCCACAGGTTGAGAATCGCTGTAATAAAATCTTGGGCATGCGGTTAATGATTCTCTCTTATCATTGATGTTTCTATCTCTCTCCTCATTCCTCTTTGAAATCAATAAAAAAATATTTTTTAAAAATCTGGGGACATATTTGATGATTAATATGGATTTAGAAAAAGCAAACAGAGGGAAGGTCGAATAAGCAGATAGTTGTCTAATAAAATATGAAAACTTTCAGCAACCAAACCTACTTAACATATTTCTAAATTTCCTAAACAATTCTGAATTTCACAAAAGACCAATTTAAATATACATTAAAGAAATCATTGCTTTTTTTACATAGTAGGTAATATTTATGGAAATTGTAAACCTAAGACCTTCTACATAGATTTAGAAAACATTCATGAATTCATAACTGGTTTTTAAGGGAAACTGGGAACTTTGGAGGTTGAGTACAACTGTGATCATTCACTGGAACTCACAGAATGACTAGAGTATAGAAAAAGAATAATCGAGTTTGAGAATATATCTAATCTAAGAGGTTATTAAGTTCTTCAATCTCCCAATTCTCATAATTTTAATTGAAAGTGTGAATTCATATGTTTGCTCCTCTCCTCAACAAGTAAAAATAACATAGGCATTTTCAGTGTCTAAGTTAACAAAACAAATAACTATAGCTACTTTTAATTTCTATTAAATTCTTAATGAAAGTAATATTCTTTAGTATAGACTTTTAATTGCTCTTATGTGGCATAGCTATCTAATATTAGGTATTTTCTCACAATATACGTCAAATATTCAGTGATAAAAATTAAGCTATAGTACTGTACTTTCAAATATTAATCAGATATTATACAATTTTTACTGTAAAGCATAATATCAGTCTTCTAAGTCTTCAGAAACATTAAAATTCTATATGTAAACATTCATAGCAGCTATTTTTTGGACTATTACCTTCGTGTGAAAACTAGATATTCCAACTTGACATGATGCAAAATGCTCTCCAAAAGTTTTCACATAATCTAAAATAAAGTAGAAAGAAACAATTCAGGATTTCACATAAAGACAAAATCTGTATAATTTTATTTTACGGAGGATAGGTGACTAGGCCAGGACACAGATTAAAAAATACTTGAATGGAGGCTCCTAGCTCTACCATCAGCCAGTTTTTGACCAAAGGCAGAAAAGGGGGAGAAAAGCTTTCACAAACAATGACTATTGTCCTCATTTCATAAGCCCCCCCTCCCTCCTCCACATTCATTTGCAAATATGGATAGACATTTGGGATAAAAAATAGCATAACAATGGGAGGTGGGGGCCCCTTCTGCTACCAGAGGGCTGGTAAAATTAGATGATATCCCTTCGTCACAGTTTTCTCCTCTATGAAATGAAGGCATTTGACTCAAAAAATTACCAGAATTTCTCCCACATCTAATATTCTAAAGTCTACTGCCTAATTTCATATATGTGATTACCAACCAGAAATTACACGTATTTCATTCCCAAATTTTTTTTAGTTATAGTTCCTCCATTAGAAAAAACTAACAGGGGAAGAAAAAACAAAACCCACATACAGGCTTCCTAGATTTTGCCCAGTAGAGAGTCTCTTATTATGAAGCCGCCATGAATGGATGTTTTTGGAACTTACTACGAACACAAAGCTTTGCTTCTGAAACACTGACATCAGTAAATGTCTATGAAAATAAGAATCAGGACCACATCTTTGCTTTGGTTTTACTAACTAGAAAATGTAAAAGAATTGCTGTCATTTATAATTACTATACTCTGTCATGATTTTCACTTTTTTTTAATATCTTCTCCAAGTCTATTTTTTCTATTTTTATAAATTTTCCCATAATTTTAGTTATCTTATACTTATGTCATCTTGATTTTTTTTTTTTTTTTTGGTAGAATGTGACTAGCAAAACTAAAAACAATTATGAAAATGTTTCAAAGTATAAATCATAAACCATTAGGAAGAAGAGGATAATAAACATGGAGAAAAGTAGACTGAGTTTTACTGCATTAAGAATTCAAAATTCACCTTTTATCTTCTTGCCATCCAAAGGCCAATCAGGAATATATATAAGCTTCTCCATGACATCAAATGCAATAATAGAGTCAGTACCTGAATTTGCTTATTTGTTCAAAATTTTGTTAGGTGATAGATATTTTCTTGGAGACTGGAATAATCATTTTGGTTAGAAAAGTTGGAATGTATATTTATTTAATGCTGAGTTTTCCAGATTTTTAGAACTTGTTCTGTTGCAGATATATTTTTTTAATGCTCTATTGACATTCACCATGAACTTTTTTCTCTTCAGTTGTTTATTTATGTCCTAGCTCTGTGTGCAGTAATGCTACCTATGGTCTAGAATTTTTATGGGAAAACCTTTCAAATTTAAGATACCAATCCCTTGCTAGTTCAAGAAAAACAAGTGAATTTGAAAAAAAAAAGTGAAAAATACTTGCTCCCATTATACTTGAATCTTTCTGAATATTCTTTGCAGCTAAAGATAAAGCAAGTAACCTAGTTTTTTTTTCTCACTGATCATACATTTCAATGTAATTTCATGATTTTAAGTGTCCTGTAGTTGCTGAGTATTAGACTCACGTACACTGAATTGAAAATGTACTTAATGCAAAAATGGGTAATTATCAACTAGAATCTAGAATTATTCAAATTAAACTGTGGAATTTCCTAAAAACACAAAGTGCATTTATGAAAACTAATACTTTAACTGAGTAAAAAAACAAAAGGGTACTTTGAGTATTTATAAAGAACACAACTATTTCAAAAATCCCCTCCCCACACATCTAAAATTGAAAATAATTAAAAAAAATTAAAAGTCATTCACTTGTTTCTTTTGATCCAGTTAATATTAAAATCTTCTCTTACCTTGATAACATGGAGCTATTCTTGTACTCATTGCTGTTCGGAAATCAGGGGGCATTTTATAGCAAACACCTGTGGGAAGCTTATTTTCAGTCTTCATGTAAAATATATTTTTCCATCTATGCCCACAAGTCTGAATAAAACATAAAAGTAGACTAAATTATGTGAAAGTCACACCCAGAATATCTGATTTCATGATGTAATCAGTGGACCAATTCCAATAACCTACCACGATGGATCCATTTTCTCCTGGCTGTCTGGAAAGTGTGACCCCCAACCATTGATTATCTCTTTCTTCCAAACAAGTCTTTCCACAACGGTCTCCACCAGGGCTACCTACCGCATTTGAAAACAACGTTATCATCAGTGACCTTGAAAACCATGATATTCTAGGAGAGCAGAGAAAATTAACACATCATGCTTATCCCCAATGTTTTTTTTTCTTCAACCACGTTGAAGTGCCCAAATTTCTGCTTCTGTCATCTTACATTCATTGCACAATGGAGGGGGGAGGAATAACTGTGAGTTATGTAACTGTGAGTTACTTGGTACAAATACGTTTTCTTGAAAGGTGATTTTTATTTGTAGAAATGACTGGAAGGGGAGATGACCAGTTTACACCAACATAGGCTGTGCAAAATCAATGGCAATGTATAATGCTTGGTGAAGAATTCCCACCTTTGCTTGGACCATTTATTTATCTAGCATTATTGACAACATTATCAGAGCACTTTGTAAGACATACCTTGAATTGAGGCATGAACAATAAAAGACAGTATGGTCTTCAGCACTGAAGTCAGCTTCTGGAAGCTGCAAGGGGATGACTGAGCATGTGGAAATGGGCAGTGTATAATGGGCATGGTAACAGGGAATAGCACTGAAAGCAAACTACCCTGTGGTTTATATTAAGTTGATCGTGATTGCTCTCAACAAGGGAAAAAAGACGTTGAAAACCAGATTATCTCAGTAGTAAATAAAAAATACCCCTTGTAGCACTTGGGCAAATACATGAATAGAAAGAAAAGTAAACATAAATATGACTCATGGGCAATACAGTACTCCTAAATTGTACAAAAGAAAGTCACCTACGCAGTGATAATGTTTCCCTTTGTTAGAGTGACTTCTTTGCTTTATAGCTAGGATCCTGCATTCAAGTGATTTTAATTAAGTGATTTTAGGGAAGAATAAGATGCAGTACCTTAAGATTCCTTTTGCTGTCTGTATTTTCACCCTCCTCAATTGCCATGTGATAGCCTATTCCACCCAGGCTTCCTCCCAAAGGCAGGTCTATGTATTTGCATTAATGTGATTGGAAGAATGTGGAACTTGGGTTTGTTTACTTCATTTTGAACACTGGTCACTGTGTTCAGACATTTATAGGAACCATTTTCTAAATTAGGCACTGCCTTCTTCTATAACCTTAAACCCTAAAGTTTCCTGGGCAAACTCAGAATACCTATGTCAATAAGGCTAATATGAAAGTGAAATTATTTGCAGAAGATCTCCTGGGTAGGAGAGATTTTGTTATAAGGAGTATAGGAAGATGATTGTGTATACTCTTGTTTGTTCTTCAAGATGTTGATCAGGAAAAACAGCAAAACCCTTAACACAGCGGAACTGAAGAAAACTTCTAGCCCCTGGAATATTCTACTTTAGTAGGTTCAGGTGAGGCCCTGACTACCCCAGATGGTTCCCATGATCTGGAAATTGCTATGAAAGAATTAGCAATTCTTAGGGTTATGTTGTTCTGGCCAGGTTTCCTGTAGAACAGTGACTGGCAAGTCCCACCTATTGGCAGTGGCTGCTTGGAGCGCTACAGTGAAAGGAAGACACCTACGTATGGGTCTGGAAGAAGAATGCTGGGGTTGATTAGCAATGCCTATTTGGAATAGAAAGAATCTTGCTGCAGCCCAAACCTTGGCGAAAGAGAATCCCAGTGGAAATGTAAGGTCTCTATGTTAAGACTAATAAAAAGGAAAAGGAAGGGGAGAAGGGAGAGAGAAAGAACTGTATTGCGTGCATTGGTAGGTAAGGTCTCATACAGAGTTTGATTGTGGCTACATGATGTCAACATAATGGAAGGAAAGTGAAAGAGAATGACATGAAATTTTAATTTTCACTGTGATGCAATTTTCAGTTTGACTTTTCACTAAAATTGCCAGTTCTTTTTTTTTTACTAATGTCAAAAATAGACGATAAATGATAGATCCTGTTTAACTGAAGTTGAAGTTCTATTATTTACAATAGATATTTCAATGAAATATCTTCTAAGAAAATACCAAAGTCTTCTAAATTTACAGTCACTAAGGCAACCAAGTAGGAGAAAAACTAAGGACGGGAGAGGAAGGAGGTCACAAGTAACACATATCTCTATTAAAATGTGGTGTGATATAATGGACACTTTCTTTCATCAAAATTATACTCAATATATAGAAACAAATTTACTGTTCTAGAGATGCACCCCAAAAGTTTTAAAAATGTAAACAAACCATAGTTTAGAAGCACACAATGCCATGTAAGTTGCTTGAGAAAAATGGCCAAAATGTTTTTATCTGCAAAAATAGTGAATTGTTATTGTCTGTTTCTTGGCCGAGTCTTTAAATTTAGAAATGAAGACTAGAGAAACCCCTGTGTGATTAAACTGTTTTCTGGAGCCATCAATGATTCCACCTTGTATCATCCTCTGTTTTCGTTTTAGCTCCACCAGGATGTCACCACTGCTCAGACTCTCACACTTCAGGCTCACACACGACGTAACCAAACTACTAACTTTCCCACTTTTTTGGTGTCACTTTCCTCAAACATCCTTCTCTCCATGTCTGAGTACTTCCCAGGTCTCTGGGACTTATACCAATACACCATGCCCCACCCCCCACTTTTCAAGCCTTGGGCCTCAATTACACACCAGCTTTCCTGCCTCTGCAGCTTGCAGATGGCAGGTCATAGGACTTTCTCAGCCTCCATAACTGAGGGAGCCAATTGTGAATCTCCTTGTAGATAGATTGAAAGGTAGACAGATGGGTAAATCTATCTAGCTACCCTGTTGGTTCCGTTCCTCTGGTGAAGCCTGACTAAATCAAGTACATTATTCATTCACAACTATTCTGTCCACTTCCCAGGCCTCGTAAATAATGACCTACTTCATCTCGACCAGTACTAAGTCTTGTTCATTACTAGCCCACCCCCAGCACAGAGCCTGGAAACGTGTGCTGAAAATGGAAGTTCAATAAATGAAAAGCAATTCAAAGCTTTGACTGGTTTGTTTTGACCGAGTATCTTATCTTCTATTTGTGTTTTGTATCTTAATGTGAAATGTGAGTACAAAAGGATCAATGCCCCGGCAGAAAGGAAATTCACACACCAACACAGTCATGAAACAATTCCCCTTCCACACAAGAAATAAGAACTAATTCTAATCAGTGAACAAACACACAGACTCACACTTATAGAGGGTTCTCCTTTTCTTCCTAACGCACCTCTGCCGGCCACGGTCATACTTCCAGCACCGGTTATAAGACAGGAGCAGTTCAAGAATGTCTGTAAGTCCCCACGACCACTCTAGGTCTTTTCTTAATTTCCCGGGACTTTTGTTTATGGTTTTTTTCTTTAATGCCTACAGAATCTTGGCAGAGAAATAAAACCTTCTCATCACCAGCTTACAGTCGGGGCCTTCTCCGGAGCGTTTTCTTAACCAGCTTGCTCCTAAGGCCACTCCTTTATCACGTGGTTCTCGGCCTGGACTGGACATTAGGATCAGCTGGGGAGAGTTCTGAACAAATCCTGACACCTGGGTCCTTCTCCCAGAGGCTCCGACGTGACTTGTCTGGATTGAGGCCCAGACGCCAGAGTTATCTGAAAAGCTCCCTGGGCACTTGTAGTGTGCATGGGGGCTTGTGAGCAACTGCTCTGCAATGTAAATGCTGTGCCTTTCCTGCATATGTCATATCTGAAAAGAAACCTTCCTTTTAAAAAATGCTACTAGAGGGCGGGGGCGGGCTATATGAAGTCAATGGCGTGGTTGGAGGTGGGGGGGGAGAGGAGATATGCGATACTTTCAACAACAAATCTCTCTATAATAATAACCGTTTTTCCTCCTTGGTTTTAGCTAGATATTGAATAGGATATCAAATGTCAAGTAAATTTTTTGTGTGTGGAAATTCAGTATTTCTAATGTGGCCAGAAATGATGATGAGTAAAACTGGCATGGGAAAGCTAATGTCAGGAAACTGAACATCATAAACAAACCCAGATTATCTTTATTTTTGACTCAAATGTCAGGCTGAAATTATTTATAATCTGGTTTTCAACTCAGCTCATTTATTACTAATGTAAACTCAGCCAATTAAATCAGCTTCATAATTAAAAAAGTACTTTACATGGTTTAACATGAAAGAGGTCAGCAGAAATTAACATTTGATAATTTTCCATGCTTTTATACAACTAGAATGACTAATTCTTAGCACACTTGAATGCATTTTCCCAATAGACATTAAAAATACAAAGCTATATAAAAACCATACCCCTTATTCTAAAAACTGAAACCCATTTTTCTCTTTTTTATTTTTCATTTGGGAAAGGAAATATACAGATGGATGCTTACTACTTCATTTTTTTTTAATTTCCATCTACTGATTTTTGTATCAGTATACATACATGTATATAAATATGAATAACAGTAACTTCGATAGATGAATATAAAGGATGTTAGTACAAAGCCAATTAAGTACACCTTTTTACCACCCCTTTTGTTGGTATAATTACTGTCATTGTTGCAAGTCCCCAAATATGAAAGAGACTATGGATGGAAGGGTAGATATTCAATCTTGAATGTCTCCTCCATGAAGGCAGGTACCGTATTATGTTGACCGTGGCACTCTCACAGCCCAGAACAGGGCCTTCCCTGCAGAAGGCCAGAATGAAATGCGTATTTGCTGAGGGAGGGAATTCTGAAATACATTATACCACCGCAAATCCTTTACTCGATTTACTAATCCTTCACTGCAGCGATTTCCAACCTTTTTCATCTCCTGGCACACATAAACTAATTACTAGTATTCTGCAGCACACCAAAAAATATATAATTTTTCCTGATCTGATAAAAAATAGAATAGGTATAATTTTGACTCATTCACACCTCTTGTGGCACACCGGTTGAAAATTGCTGCTTTACTGCAATAATTCCACCAAACTCTCGAGGATCTAAGCTTTGGAGAGATCTTCCTTCACTACTATTCTCCTTACTTTTCTAAAATATTGCCTTGAGTTTTAAGATGGTAACAGATGTTCTGAAGGGAAACCGTGTTTGGAGGTTTGAAGATCTTTACAAAGTGGGGTAT